CAGCCCCGGCAGCCATTTCTGGCCGCCCTGCAGCGCAAGGGGGGCTCGGCACAGCCCCCGAGTCGTCTGCTGCCCTGTGGATAGAAACTTTTCGTGTCCCCGTATGGTTTTGATTAAAGTTGTTCTCTCAAGTAAAGAGCTCTCGTGAAACGGTCTTGGAGCCCCCTTTTATTGTGGCTTTAATTGTGGCAGTGCTTACAGAGCAATGACCCTTGCAGGAGTTTTCTGGATGGAAAAGAAGGGGGTGAGACTGTACTTCAGGACAGAGGATGTGGCAGTAGTTGAGCCGATCAGTTGATCAGTGTTAGTGATAGTGTTTGTGATAGATCTCTGCGCACGTGTAAGAGAGCTCTGAGAGACAGTGGTGGGAGGGGGAGCCCAAACAGTGCCCTGCTGGGCTACTGCCAGGCCCATCCCAGGGCCATCAGCCCATCCCAGTCCTTGATGCACGAGCCCGGGGGGGCACAGTGGAAGGCAGGGACCCAAATCGAGGAGGAGCAGCTGCCTTGTCTGGGTCCTACCCAGGGCTGCCCCAGGAGAGCCGTCAGCCCGGGTGTGCAGCTGTGAAACCATGTGGATGAGTCCTTGGGAGCAGCTCTCCAATCACATTTGGGACTAAGGGATTACTGCCCGGGGGTGGGACATATTGTGGGAGGCCGGGGAAGAGCAGTTTGCACAGGACTTATTATGGGATCTTTAGGGCAGGAAGCAAAGGCGGGAAAAGGGAGGGGTTGAGGTAATTTGGGGAGGAACAAGAGTGGGACGAGATGGGCAGGGAGATAAAAAAGGTTGGTGACACTTTGGGCACGTAGGCATCTGAGTAGTGCATTTTAATTTATTTTGCTACAGTACTTTAAACCTGTTTAATGTTATGTCACTGCTCAGTAGTTCCATCAGAAGGCGGCGAGGCGGAAGGTGGTGGTGAAGACACTCGGAAGCCCTGCTCCGTTGGACAGAGAAAAACAGTTGAGCGCTGTCAAGCTCCAATGGCAAGTACGTTACATGCACAGCTCCTCTTCAAGCTAACTTCTTGCATAGAAGTGAGATTTTTTTTGGAATGAGAATATATACACACACTCAACTTCTCTTGACATTTCTTACCTCTACTCTGCAAGTAAATGTTCTGAAATGCACGTATCCTTTGCATTTGCCGTTTGGCACACTTGCTGTTGATTTGGGGTCAAACAATGACCTACATATCCTTCAAAGAACAGTAATTAAACATACTCGATAATCTTACTCCTGTGTTTTTCAGTTCTTAGAAAGCAGATGTGCGTGTTTTCACTTCTACTGTGCATTGATTAAAAAAAAAAATCCCCTTCCCCAAATCACTTGACGCTTCTTCTGCAATGAGGGATAGGTGAAACTCATTCTGTTTTCTGCCTCCTTTGCTATCCTGTTTTGTTTGTAGCAGTGTTGTAAATTCATTGCTTTCAACAGAAACAAACCAATGTAAGATGTGTTTTTTGGGCCAGTCTTCACCTGACAGTTGTTCTTTAGAAACAGTCAGTCATGAGGGTCTTCTGGAAGAAATAACAGGTTGGTGTCTAGGTCTTCTGTAGAATAGTGATAGTTCTTCTTTTTCAATAGTGCTGTCAGTCACGTCACTGAATAAAGCTTTTGAGGGTTTCTGTACTGGTGGTAATTGCAGGTTAATAGTAGGATGTTTGCTGTTGTCTGAGGGTATAAAGACAAGGAACGTTTGGGGAGGGGAGGCTATACTTTTTATTAGTCATTAGATATTTTTAGAAGGCAGTTTTACTGCCTTTTTACTGATGCTACCTTAGCAGTGATAAGGTGGTTAGGGAGGTTGTGGCTGAGATTGTGGAAGTGAGATTTTATTTTTTTTTTTTTTTTTATTCTGGCACTGAAGCCAAAATATCTGTCTGAAAATCGTAGACTATTGAATCTTGAGGGATACAGATTATTTTCTTAAAATTGAAGGTAATTGAGTTAGAGGGAGAACCTATATGAAGGCTTTAATATTTTTATTTTTATTTTTTTTTTAAATCACCCAAATACTGATTCTGGTTTCTTTCTGGAATCGTTAATGTTTCTGTATGAAAGTAACATTAAACAAGAAAAATGCTAAATGAGATGATAAATTGCAGTAGTAATGACAACAGGATTTTGGATCCTGTAGCCAGTTAAAGCAGGGAGAATGGGGTGTCGTGCTAGAGAGGAGGAAGCATTTTGTTTTGCATCCTTGAAAGCAGAAGGCAGGGTTTTTGAAGCCCAATTTTTAAATAAGTTCAAGTTTCTGTTTCCCAGAGTGGATACGTAATGCCAAGTGAAACTCTCTGTGTGCGAGAGAAAGAGATTGGACACATTGAACTAGTTAAACATTTTACCTTCCTAGGAAAAACTAAATTTTGCTGTCACAAGGAAAACCACGTAATGTAACTTGACATTGGATTCATAAGAGTGCAGTGATCAGGAAACTTATTAGATCTCAAAGTAAATTCTGAGATTGAATTCACTTAGATTTTGATATGACTTAGGGCGTACCTCAGTTTTGTTACTTGCTCATTTCTGTGTCTGCAGACAGACAGGCAGCTCACGAGAGGGATTCCACATCCTCCTCTGGTGACAGAGCAGCATGAGAGGTGTGGGAAGCGCAGCTGTAAGAGATTTAAAGTTAATGAAATTGGAGAATTTGGGAGTGGTTTGCATCTGCCTAACTGAAGTGTTATCCTCTTCACCTTGTACACTTTTAAAACGGTGGCAATATCTGATCGGATCTGTTGGTACTGACAGCTGTAACTGGACTCTCTAGAATTTATTTTTTGGAATTGATTTTTAATAAGCAATTTGTTTTCTGGGCGGGAATGGGGTGAGGAACACTTATGTCATGTTTTAATTACTGTGCTTTGCAGAGGTTTATTCAGGAAGAAAACCACTGTAGGAGAAAATGTTTATATAAATAGAGGAAGTGATGGAGGTTTTGTTACATAACAGATGCTCTCGAAAAACTGTTTTAAGGACAATCTAATAGATGAGTTTTCAGCCTGATGTCTTTCAGACGTGTGTCTTCTGGCACGTATATCCCGAAGTCCTCAGCAAGTAGGAGCAGTGGTGGGTAGCCTTTCTAGTGTTAATCTGCACAGAAATAAGTAACCCCTTGGTCTGTAACGTTCTGAGTGTAAAATCTCTGAAAGATGTCAGTGTGTTTTGGGAGGTTCTTCCATCACACAAGTCAAGGTCAGTTCATGGTCTCCACGTACAGAATAGCTGTTTCTTGCATTCATGCTGGCGTGAATATTCGTAAGTGCAAAGAGTTGTGAGAATAATTAACAGCTCAATGTCTGGAGTGACTGTTCTCCTTTATTTGCTCACAGATATTAAATGTAATCCTATTTGAAAGAATAATTAGCTCTTTCGGAAGTTTATGGACATCCATCCGTAATGTTTTCTGCATTCACTTGCCATCCTCCTAAAAGCAAAAACCTTCTAGCTGCATCCTGAGTTAGAAAGTGCCTTTTTCTTTCTCCTTCATTCAAACCAGGTGTCTTCCAGTAAACTTGGGGAAAGACGAATTAAAGGGAATTCCCAGGGATCGAATGAGAATTGGAGCAAGTCTGTCTGATGGTGATCCAAATCAAACAGATTGTTCGGTGAGTATTTTTAGTTCATTGTCTCAGGGAGATGCTTCCAGGGTTTGCAAAAGCTTTCAGTAATGTTCTGTCTACAACCACCTTGGTTTACAGTTTTCTCTCGAGCAATTTGAAAACTGCCCAGAATGTTCCCTTTGTGCTGACGTGTGATTTCTGACGGAACCTCATTTGAGGGCGCAGCTTTCCTTAGCATGCAGAAATGTGTTCTGATGACTTTCTCTTTAGGTCCGATTTGATGGTGTGGGGTGGTCTTTCTGACCACACTGCAGCTTTAAAAGAGATGGTTGTTTATCCATTGCTTTACCCGGAATTCCTTGAGAGATTGAAAGTTCAAACGCCAAGGTAACAGAGGTTGTTTATAATTCACTTGTTTTCTAGAGCATATTTGACTGAGGTTTCAATATATTTCCATACTTCAGAATTTTCAGCGGTGTTGATGGCGTTTTTTAGCAGTAGCAGAAAGTGATTGAAAACGGATTGAATCCAGAATATGTGTGGGTTCAAAGATTGCGTGTGTGGTGAGAATACACTTGAAAGGTGCCTTGCCTTTT